TATCATTTTCGAATGCCAGAATTCAGGCTCCACAAGAGACCCTAACTTGACTGCCAGTACATTAAAAACATGTAAAGATACAGTTGTTTTAAATTCCTGGAGACTTTTGGGTTTGGAGGTTCAGCACTTCACTGTGAACCAGGGAGACTTTCTAGCTAAATGCAGGTTACCGGAAGTTTCACCTCACCCCTGCTTTACTAATTCCTCTGATATGATGAAGGAATGCATTTGGACGCTGGCCACTTACAGGATTGCTCCACACATAGGAATGTGATTGACGCCTCAGTTCTCATGTTTATGCTGTAATCGTGTTCTCAAACTGGCTGAATTAAAACTGTTTATGACTTTCAAATACAATGATTATGTCTGGAAAGACCAGTGTAAAGATTTTCAAGAAAACCACTTTAGAATTTGCCTCTAGAGCAGACCTATGATGTAGCGGACAGCTAAGAAGCTGACTGATAATAGCAATGCCCACGCTCTTTGTAGGTGAGATACACATAAGCAGACTTGGGAGTGAAGAAACCATTTCAGAATCACACAGTGAAGCACAGAATCTCAGGGTTTGGAAGGGACTTCTGAAGATCACTGAGTGGCCTTCTGTGATAAGCAACCAACCTAGGGGCCTTCTATGATGGTGTAAGTGCATCAGTGGACATGGAAGAGACAGCGATGTCATCGATCTGGGCATCAGTCAGGCCTTTGACACGGCCCCTCCTAACATTCTTCTCTCCAGATTGGAAGGATACGGATTTGGTAAGTGAACTGTTTGATGGATGAGGAACTGGTTGCAAGATTTGGATTTAAATTTTAAATTAGTTCTATCTCAGTGTAGCTTTGTTATTTTCTGTTGCTACGTGTGATTTAATAAAATCTCAAACCAGTTTTAGAATCACAAAATAATTTATCATAGTTTAGGTAATAACAAAGCCAGAGATAAACAAGAAAGTTACTGGGAATTTCATTGGTGTGGAGAGTTCAGGAATAAACAGCTCTCTGTGTATAAACAACACTGCTCTTAAGAATACAAGTTGTTTCTCCATTCCATTCCACTAATCTAATGACTCTGATTACCACAGGCATCAGAAAAATTACGCTAATTCATTTTCTGTACATCAAAAATGAGTCTTGATACCAAAACCTACTGTGTTATATAAATCCTCCTGGTTGCAAGAGAGGTAATACAAATTTTGTCAGTATAGCCATTTTTATATAAACTCTAAATCTATGATGTGTTTGTAGTCTCCTTACTTTTTCTGGCTTGATGTTCGGCAGTATAATCACCCCACAGCTTGGTGCAGAACATTCTCACAGATCAGATACTCAACTTACAGACATATGTGAAGTATCTAAAGATTGAATTCAATTTTCTGTGTTTCCTTTATCTTCACTGGAGACTTCTAATAGAGATGAATTTTTCTTTGCTTAAAAAAAAAGGAAAACATAATCCTGTGATAATGTCACAAAACAGAAAATGGTATAAAGTCATGATATCGTACCTTCCTGACTTCACCACAGACTTTCAGCATACCCAGAGAAAAGTTGGGTAAATACAGTTTCCTCCCTATGTACAAAATAGTTGTAAAGCAACCCACAATAATAAAATAAGTTATTGATAAGTTTGAGACACTGACATGCACAGGCAGAAAATGTTGATGTAAACTTACTGTCATTTCAAGATTTTGAATGGTCTTTGCTCTTTAGAATCTTGATTGGAATTGGAAAAGATTGAAAGAACAAAGAACTGTGCTGTGTATGCCTTTCTAGTACTGTATTTGATAGGACAGATCTGTGGGACGAACATTAAGATACTTGCAGAAGAAATACCATATCGGAGATTTCTACCTAAGCTTCTGTTTTATCTAATTAAATATAATTAATTGCTTATGTAAATTCATTACCCAGTAATTTGAGTCACTGAGACACGTTAAAGAAAGGCCTTAAAAGTCAACCAAAAGGAACAATTATTAGGAGCAATTCCAATTTGGGAAAAGCTCTGAGGGATTTTGAATCATACATAGGTGAATTTTTCACTGTTGGGCATGCCAACATTGCTGACTTTTATGTCAGCATGGAATGATGAATGTTCTGTAGCACTACAAAATTTCAAAACATTAGTAAGTATTACAAAACATTATTTAGAATGTTGGGAAACTATCAGCATAGGGAAACTGATCTGTTATGGATGTCATATAAAGCAAATGATTTATGATAGTACAGAAAACATATGATGCTGAATTTGCTTTGCTAAGCAATAAGGTATTAGCTATCTCTAAAGCTAACCAGTTTGGAGATCTGGTACATTATATTACAGATTTAAATACATACATGTCTTTCCCAAAACCAGAAGTTTCATAGACTTAGTTCCCCTTTTCTTCTCAACTTTCCTATAATCAATGTGTGGTTTGCTTCCATGATATCAAAGAATGAAAATCTGCAAGGTCTGTTCCTAATCTGGCAAACTTTCCCAATAATGAATTCCACTAAGCTCACCAGAGGGACGCAGAGTGGAAACAGTCATCTCCCTACACTGAGGGAGCCAGTCTCTTGCTATTGCATGATTCCCGCACATTCAATAAAGTCACACTGAGATCCTGCCATTATCCAATAATTTTTTTCAATATTTAACGGATTCGTCTGACTTCCTTTAGATGTCTGCACTAGGAAAATATGGATTTCACTTTAGGGGAGATATTTTTCTCTGCTAATTGTAAGACGAGCAGAGGATGACTATATCAGTTATAGAGATATACACAGTAGATGATTACATTTTGACATTCCGATATGGGAGCCAAATCCTAAATGCTGAGGGAAATTTCCAGAGAACTAAGTCAGCATAATGCTTGCCTGCATGTAGCAACATATTGTCAAAGTAAGTGGGGAATTTTATGTCTTAAACATGCTGTTGAAATACTGTTCATGTGACCAGGAAATATGACCCAGAGTGCCACCAACCAGTGGCCAACCGCACAGCAGCCTGGGAGCCCAGTGACACCAGCCCTGTCAGGCAGCACCAGCTTCCTCTCGCTTCCCAGTTTGGCTCCTGGAGTTGGGCAGCACAGCCGTTCTTATCCTTCAGTCAGATCTGCTTCGTGGCTTGATGGGAGAAAGAAGAGAGCAGAGGCAGCAGCAGCAGCTTTTCTCCGCTTCAGTGCTTCTCCCATGTCTGTCATCCCCTTCTCTCATGAACATCACCTAGCCACACTGCTCCCCCACACCCAGCTATCAAATTTTCCCTTCAACTTCCTTCCCTCAGCACAGCTAGCTTGGCAAAGTTAGCCCATCACCCCTGTTGATCCACACACACTCTTCTGTTTGGGCCTGCTGCAAATGGCCACCTCCTTCCCTCATGTCACAGCACCCAACAGCGCAGCTAAAAGCCTCGCATTGCTGAGCAGCTGGAAATGCTGCTGGAATAAGGTCACACTGGTCAAGGTGGTTATTCCAGACAGCCTGGAAGGTTCCTCACCCCTCTCTGGTACAAGAATCATGACAGAGGAAATGGGAGCAAAGATGGGATGTTGAGATTATCTCCATATCACAGCTGGCCCACTTCCCCTCTTTTGTAACTGAAATGCAAGGACATCTAAGTGGAAACAGAGCTTAAAAGTGATTTAAGGTTTGATAGAAACACCTTGTTCATTTTTTAGATAAATAGGTCCTATAGCTCTTTGTAATGTCCTTTGGAAATCAGCTATGATTTTACCAGGTGACATCCTTGAAATTCTAGTCACACAAGATCAGGATTCTGCACAAAGCTGAAAGCATGCTTTTTCGCTGAGGTAATGTTGACATATAGCTGCAGAGAGACAGTGATGAAACTTGATAAAAACAAGGCAGGAAAATCAGAAGGGATTCAGTGAAGGAATGCTGATAATTTAAAAAATCCAGGATTCGGGCACACCTTGAAACACTCGATATGATGGAGACTTTGGTTGAAATTGCCACTGTATCTGGATCCATATGTGTTTATTTTACATTATGAAACAGAACTGATTGCTTGTATCTAAGTGTACACCAAACAGGAAAATTAAAGGCAATTAAATATGCAACTTCCCTATTAGTCTTCTCATACACATATTTTCCAAGTGTAAGACCTTGTAAAAACCATCATCAGTTCAAAAAGGAATGTCAGCATAACACTGCAAAATGCACCTATCCCCTTTATATCCGTACAAGGTTCTCTCACACCGCCTGTTTCCCAGCAGAAGTATCCCGAGCTGAATGCGAACACAGCTCCCTCTAGAGCTCGAGCATTAGATGAAAGCAGACCCCAGGCCCCAAAACTTGGGTTGATCGCCTGGCGAAGCAGCACTGCGGCGATCAATGAGTACGGGCCACGCGGGGGGCACAGAGCCTGCGGCACTGACGAAGCATTCAGCAAACCTGTCCAAGATACCTTCCTACCTGTGAAAATGACATATCTTCCCAACAGCTTTGTAGGAAAAGCGTCCGTCTGGTGTCTGGTTTACAGGGAAGCTGAGGTACAAATCCCCAGTGTCTGGGGCTTTTTTGGGGGGGGTTATTTTTTGTCTATCCTGACAGGAGCGAGCCCAACAGTCGTGTTCTGCGTGCTGAGCGGAGGTCGGCCAGACGTTTGGCGCAGCAGAAGGTGCAGACCTGAGCCAGCCGGCCCAGCTCGGCGGGAGCACCGCCCGGCCCCACCAGCATCCCACCTTGCGGCCAGCGGACGGGAGCCGGGCTTGGCGCGCGGGCACGGGGACGCGCAGCAGCACGGCGCCAGGTGGCTCTGGGCACGAAGCCGCCCCTTCTCTCGGGCCCCTTCCCGCGGCGGGCCGTCCCTTCGCAGACCCCCGTCCCGCCTTGCGCAACCTTGCGATGCCGGAACGCTGAAGGACAGCCCCTCTCCCGTCCTCCCTGACCCCGCGCGGGACCCGGCTCCGCCGCTCGCACCGCCCGCGGAGTCTCCGCCTCTTTCCCAGACATAAGGACCGTCCCGGCCGCAGCTCACCGCGCTTATCCCCGTCGCGACGTCGCCGAGCCGCTTTCCGAGGATGCCGCGTACCTCCGCCGGAGCGCGAGCCGTGCTGCTGAGCGCGCTGCTGTGCCGCCTGGCCGCCGCCGCCGGTGGGTGATGGCGGGAGGGGAGCGGCGGGCTGAGGTGGGGGGGTGGGCGCGGGCTCAGCTCCCGTGACAGGGCGGCCCCGAGGGACCGCGGCCACGCGCGGCGGCCTTTGCTTTCCGCCAGAAACTTCGCGCGTGGCCGTTGGGGAGGGGGGCAGCGGCGGACCCGTCGTTCAGCGCTGCTGGCGGAGCGCTCGTGCGCCTCGGGCGGTTTGTTTCCACGGGCGTCCTGATGTCCGCAGCCGGGGAGCTGCGGGGCTTCCCGGCGGCACCGGGAGCGAGAGGCGAGATTCGTTTCCCTTGTCGCCAGGTCTGAGCTAATCGGAGCGGCAAAGGAGGCCACATTTAGGAAGCAACGGGGTATGGATTAGCGCAGCGCTGGCTTCCCGGAGGTCGCGGGGGTCGCGACTCGCCCCGCCGTGCGGGGTTTTCCACCGCGCTTCCCTCCGGGGCAGTTCCCCGAAGTGTCCCCTCGGCCCGGGCAGGCCCCCAGATGTACGTGCTCAAGGCAGCACAGCGTTCTGAATAGTTCTGAATAGTTTATCTTCCCAAAATAAATCGAAGGGGAACCGAGATTGATGCCTTCTGCATTAGAGACAGCAAGGGACTGTGAACCGCACTGCTGTTGTTTGGGGTTCGGACACTCTCACGTGAGGGTCTTCTGTTTGGGATTTGGACATTCTCATAAGGGTCTTCAAGATCTCTAAGTTCTTAAGGGGTGTTGAATCGAAAACTAAAGTGAGGACTCATCTGGAGTTACCTCAGCAAGCTCGGAGTTAGAACAACAGTGAAAGAAAATAATTTTCTTCTCATGTTTCTCACTTCTGCCAGGGCACATTCCTTCGGTGAGACAGCGTGAGCCCAAAGGGCAGGACTGGGCCTCTCCGCCTGAAATAACTCCCCTAAGTAGTGATTAGCAGCAGTGCTGCCTTTACCTAAACAGTGAGTGCAGGCAGCCAGCAGTTACGTGTAACGTGGCTAATGGCACTCTTTTCTCTTTTTAAAGGCAACCCAGAACTACCAACAGCAGTTAATATAACTTGGTCTTCAGTCAATTTTAAAACCATACTAAAATGGCAACCAAAACCATCGGGTTACTTCTACACCGTGGAAATACATGGGTAAGTGACATGGAGGTGTGTACATCAATGGCAGTTGAGGGAGATGGGTCTGGAGTGTTTGGTTATTTCTGAGACAGAATTTAACATGAAAAGAGCTCACTTCTAAGGAAATTGACAACCCAACTGCTAGCACTTCTTTATGTCTGACCGTAGCAATACCTGCTTCAGGTTTCTGGCTTTGCCCACTTCGGAAATGGGAAGCTGAGCTTTAGATTGGTATTTCAGTCCTGGGGTGAGGTGTGGTTCCAGCTATACTAGAGACGTGTGCCAGCGTACTGGAAGAAGCTGACGTCTGATCTGACGTGCCATATATTAGACACATTCACCTTTTTATGTCTGAACTCAGTCTTTGTTCTTTAGTCTCAGGAGGTGTCTGATAAATGTGAATTTTCTAATCAGTGATTCACCATAACGTATGTTTAGTCTTGCTTGGTAATTCTGAAAATTACCTTTGTTCATCTAGCTCTGTCAAGACTTCCTCTGTCATCAAGTTTTATAGAAACTATGAAATACTACAGCCATAAAAACGATTAGCCTGTGTGAAGTGTCTGACACCTGTGCTGCACAGAAACTTCAGTGAAGTTCAGCCATAAATCTGTGCCATTCTTAGCTCTCGTATTAATTCATAGATCATTAATGAACATACCCTGAAGGGAGTATCAACTCTTCCACTTGTAATGAAGATGTGGTGCTGTAGTCTCTTCTGTGTATAAAAGTTGCCTAGAAATGAGAGCAGTCTCATGACTAATGGATGAAATACCAACGTGATGGTCTAATGTGCTCTTTTATTCTTTAGGCTAAGGGAGCAATTAAATGAATAGGCTTAAAAGCATGCTGTTAGCAGAGTAGCACAACCTAGCTTAAGAGTTCAGTCTTACAAAGAGACAAGTGCGGGACACAGAACCTTATCTAGCACCGTGCAAGTTGAAATGTTTTATGAATCTGGAGTTTATTTTGCTTACGAAATATTGAAGTCTGTTTGCCCAAGGTTTAGCATAGAATCAGGTATAGTTCTGATATGGAGGAACTTCTTCAGACAAGATGTTCCTATAGACGACTTGCACTAAAATGTTTTCTTTCTCTTTCATGTACATTTGTTTGATCACCAAGATCAGATCTCTTTTGTCCTTTTTCAAAGCATTGTTAGGATGCAAAGCAGCCATTAAAACTTTTTTTCCTTATGGCTTATTCATTATTTCTCAAGTAAATCCTCTATTCTTTAGAATCGAGAGAAATTCATAGAGGTAGTGTTTCTTACAATATTTTTTCTTGCTTCTGTAATGTAATACTGCAAATAAAATTGCTGCTAATGTTTTGTTCTTAGTGACATTTGTGCCTGCATAAATGCAAACACAAGGGACACAAATGAGCAGGCACTGTTACATTAAGCAATTACTGTACATGGCAGCAGAGCTTCCCAGGACAACTCGTTTTTTAGGCAATGATGTTTAGACACATCTGTGAACAGGGATAACATTTTCAATGTGTTTTCTATACCTGTTTTTTTTTTGTTTTGTTTTCATAAATCAACTGAAGGAAAACCTCAAAAGGCATCTTTCCATAATTACTGTGGCTCATGGTTTTTCTTCACTTGTTTCTACAATGTGTTGTGAAATATACCTATGCAGAACTGTGGTTTGTTTTTGTGGGTTTTTTTTTCCCTTCTGCTTCCCAGCCTACTATACTGCAAGGCCATTCCACTGACTGAGGGAAGTCTGTACAGTTTGAATGGAAAAAATGTTTTTAACATGTATAAATAGCTTGAGAGAGTCTTCTTGGGAAGTGTTGACGCTTCTTTCTTACTCTTTTCAGGGAGACATCTGATACCAAAAAAAAAATGCATAATGACTACAGAAACAGAGTGTGATGTTACTGATGCACTGCGGAATGTAAAGGAGACCTATACAGCACATGTATTATCTGTAAAATCCTTGGTGGAGGATAACTTTGAAGAACCACTTTTTGCGAGCTCTGAAAAATTCACACCTTATAATCAGAGTAAGTAGAATTCCCAATTAAATCTTTTCATTAGCTTCCTTTCAAGATGATTTCCGTTGACTTAAACAAGGTTTGGATTTGACCTAAAGCTTTCTCCTGTAGATTCTATGGATATTTTAGAAGGTGACATTCAGGCATAAAGCTTTCTCTCCTTATTGCAGAGCAGTGTGTAAGATTTTAGTCACTACTTGTTTCTTACTGCATTGTACACCACTTTATTAACATTGTGTACTAGATACAGACACTTGTTAATAATCCTGTGCTGCCTTGGCTGAGTAAACTCTTCTGTTTGAGAAGGGAAGGGAGTAAAGTGAGGAAAAGAGCATATTACGTAGAAAACGGTAGAAGTACAGAATAGCCAAGAGTGGGGAAAAAAGGTGATGCCAGTGTTTTAATTCAAAAAATGCTTTTTTAGCCATTATTGGAAAACCAAAGATCCAAAACCACACACAAGAAGATTCCAAACTGAACGTTGTGTTTCAAGATCCACTTACACCATATATGTTTCCTAACGGAAGCTTTCAAAGTGTTCGAGATATTTTCAAACATGACCTGGAATACAAACTCTATTACTGGAAAGATCAAAGTTCTGGAAAGGTAAGGCCTTACTCTGCTTTTCTGCATATCCTGTAGATATATAACAGCTATACAATTTTTCTGCTACCTTGAAAGCACGGCCATTTTCGCAGAGCACCTGAAATGAGAAATGTTTTTTTCTTTACAGAAAGATGCAACAACAAAAAGCCATACGTTTGATATAAGCATTGACAACAAAAATAACTACTGCTTCTACATCCAGGGAATCATTCCCTCTCGCAGAGAAAATCGTAATGGTCAAGAAAGCATGGTGCTTTGTACCACTGTAGAAAGAACTGCTTTAGATGGTATGTATCTACTGAAGAGTGTTGTTCTGCCTTCTGCATTCCAACAGAAAGACACTTCAATTTTGAATATATTTTATAACTCTATGAAGTGTGACACCTAAGTTAAGAAATGAACTTACGTAGCTACTTCTTTAGCTGGCTGGAATTGGCTGTAGGGTTTTGCTAAACTGCTTGATTCAGTTTTAAATCGTCTGAGCTGTTGCCTGGTCACGAGGGTTTCAGGTCTAGCATTACATTTCGGCTTTGTTTTTTTTGTTGTTTGGCTTTTTGTGTGGTTGGGTTTTTTTCCCCTCACTGTTTCCCTCAGATCCTCCCCATACAAATGATCCCATAGCAAGTGCAAGTGGTTGATTATCTCTAAAGCATAGGAGTGCTGGAAATCTGACTGACAAGCATTTCCACTGATTTGTAGTTTGAACTGAAATGTATTATCTCAAAAGCAGATGATGAAACTAAGACTTTCTTTTAGTGTTACACTGCCATATTAGCTGACAGACTGACTTCTCTTAAATATGTGAGCACACTGTGAATCAGCCAGTTTTATTCCAGCCTGAATAACACTTTTTTCAGTACAAAGTATTGAACATTTATTAAATAATATCACAGTACTGTCATGCTTGTTTCCTCTCTATTAGATGAAGCAACTAGGACATTAAGTAGAGAACCTCTTACGAAGTTTGCTTTCTAATTAACTTTATTATCTAGAGTATACACTTTCATATATCAAAATAGTTAAATTCTATGTTACAATTTAAATAAGGATCTTTTTTATTGGTACTTTCTAGCTTTTAACCTAGAAAAAAAATACCCACACGAACTTAGTTTCACAAAGATAATGCAGAGACTGAAGGAATGATTTGACCTACACTTGGTATTTTGTTGTTCTGTCTAGATTAAAACCTACTGTGAACCACATGAAATAAAGCTTTACCTCAGTTCAAAAAATTCATTTTAAAACAAATTCAGTGCACATTGGGATAATCATTCTACTTCCATGGTACCATGAAATACAGAAAGCATTTTTTAGTTCAGTGTAAGAATTGATAGCAGTGTGACGTCATCTCTGATAACTGAACCTTGGATTTTTTTCCCCAACTCTACAGAATACGGAGCAGAAGTCTTTATCATCATAGCAGTGGTGGCAATTGCAGTCATTGCTCTCGCCATTATCCTAGCAGTGATCCTGTGCAAACGCAAGAAAGCAAAAACTGCACGAGAAAAAGAACCACTTAATGGTGTCTAAGGAAAAACTATTGTGGATACTCGTGGAAGATACAAAGGCAGAAAAAAAGATGGAGCCGTTAGCCTCTCTCTGGTACAGGAAATTTGAAGCTAAAACTTTTGGTGGACTCAAAGATCCATTAGACAGTGACAGACTAAAAAAGAAAAAAGCCACAGATATCAGGAAGGCCCTGTCTCCAGTGTCTGAGGCTGGAAGAATATTGTGGTGACCGATGACAAGATGATTACCCTACTCACGCATTTTTCTCAGCTAGAATCAAATGAATCTCTGATTTGGCCAAGCACTCCGAAAGTATAAGATTCACTGAGCCAGCAGTCTTACGGTACTCATGAGGGGAAGAAACACTGCATTTGAAAAATATGTCCTTTGCTAATGAAAAGGACCATTTTTCTGTTTCTATGAAACAAAACCTCTACTTATCTGACTTTCTTATGATATTATTAACTGGTGAAATGATCTGTTAGTTCAGATGGTACGAAGAAGCTATTTCTGCACTTCTTGGATAAAACTATCTTGGTTTGTTTATCTTTGGGTGTACCCAATCAGTGCTAAGCAAACAAATTAAGTGTATTGGTGACCACTAATTAATGCTCTTGCACTAGATAGCTGCTAACCATATGGGAAGCATATCTGGATTACACTACACCTACAGTTCCACAGACATGGTAGCCTGTTGGTCCCAAGTAAGTGTTAGGGTAAACACTTCACAGTTTGAGGGACTAGTAACTCACTTCAGGCAAACACTGAGTAAGTAGCAGTAGTTACTGCATTTTGAACTTTATTCAAAATAAATGGTAAATCAATAGTTTATGTACTATAGATTCAAATAATCTTGGTGGTGGGATTCAGAGGTACCTTTTGCTATGACTGTTTTAATATTTATTTTATAGATGACAATCTAATTTTTATACTGGTGATACCTGTATTTATAGTAATTTATACTTTTCTAGTGAAATAAAGGTGACTGGGAAAACAAGACTTTGTCTTTTTTTTTTTTTTTTTTTTTAATGGAGTACAATATTCATTCTGGAACTCAAGTTAAAAATATGTTTAGGAAACTTATCTTGCAATTGAAGTTTAGACAAGTTTCAGAAATCTAACCAAGACCATATGGAATAAACCAGCAGGGCACCTACTACCTGCAAGGACAAAAGCATGAGAAGCCATACTTCATGAACTAACGATAGGTTTTGAAGAGTCCCAAGTTGCTATTCAGCTTTCTGTTTGGTGAAGTGATTATTCAGGATCAGCTTCTTAATCTAATGGAAAGTATATTGGACGCCCATCTGGATGTTTGCTTAGGGATCCCCACACTGATACCTGCACCTCTTTTGATACTAGCGTACACTCAAGGCAGTATGGGGCATGGCCCAAAGCTGATAGCTGCTGCAACGTTCTGTCTCTTGCTGCTGTAACAGTGGGGATAACCAAAGCAGAAAGGGGAAAAAAAAAAAGCATCAAGCAGTTTACACAAATGGGCCGTATACCTCAAGGCTGTGTTTGTGTCTTTGAAGAGGATACCAACTGCCTTTATGAGAACCGATAACAAACGATTATCCCAGCCTATCAACTTCTACAGATGGCATTTGCTATTTGTTATTCTTACCACACAGAAATACAATCCTTCATATGGATTATGAGTCCTGTGGTAATGCCTGAGTAGTTAACAGATATTTGGTTTGTTCTTGAATTCTGTTATTTACAAGGAGAGAAAAAAAACTTTTTACTCAATATTGAGCAATAAATGCTTAATTTATTTAACATTTTCTAATAACATTTTCTGCATAAACCTTCTTTGGAAAAAGAATCTTAAACCAGCAATCAGAAGCATGAGAGTGTGTGGGTGTAAACTTAAAAGCATTCCAAAGTTGTCATCATTACTCCCCTGTTCCACTTCATTAGTTTCATTCAGAGTAGAGCTCAGGAAAGGCAAAAGTTCATAGGAAAACAAAAGCCCACAGGAAACAGCGTAGTGTTTTTTAAACCATACCATGCATTCAATTATCTACATAGAACAGTGTTATAAATTATGGTTCATTAGCTAGATTTTTCATTTGCTTTCAGTATAAAGGTGGTTTTTATTAAAAGAAAGAAAGAACACCCACAGATTACAAACTGCCTTAAATGGTGTAAGAACGGCCCACTGCTGCACAAGTTTTGGAAACCCATGGCATTTCTGCTCCCTAGCTGCAGTACTTCATAGCCTCAGCAATGCTCAGCAACCAGAGTCACGAGGCCTACAGATTCCATTTCTGAAGTTTTCTGGCCGTTTGTGAAGACATTTGAGAATGGGGCTTTTTCCTTCCCCCACCTCTCCCGCAAAGCTCAGTGGATCAGTGCACACAGCCCATGCAAACTGTTCCAATGCAGAGGTTTAACTTTCTCAGTATTGTCATTAGGAAGAAATACTAGATCATATCTAGGGCACACACATAGGGCCAGCTTCAGTGCTCTACAAATATTGGACAGGGCCAGCCAGGCAGGGAATTGATGTGAGAAGGCTTTTCCTACATACTATAGTTTCCTGGCCTATCTTACAAGCACATTTCTGCCTTCACGTGGATTATACTCATACTCCTAATTCCCCATCTTCTGCTTTGCCTCCAACTTTCGAGAGGAGAAACACACTTTCTTGACATAACACTTGTACAAATGAACATGTAGCATGGTATACTGTAAGAAGCCACTATCATTTTATAATATTGCTTTAAATTCAAATTTTTCTTCACACAAGAAATACAGGCTGATGTGATGCTAGCTTTCTGCCAGCCCTAAGATCACTGTGGGCGATAAAATGACTGCCATTACTTCAAATGAACAGCTTTACATGACTTAGATATGGCTGCAGACAGCTTAGCCAATCTATTCCTAGCAGACTCAGCTTTTCAGTGTGAGAAGGGTGCTGCTGAGAGGCACAAAACAATAAGAACACGATTATAAGCTTAACTTGGATCACTGTTCATGTGGCAGGACAAAGTTTCTGCATTGAGTTAGGACAAAACAGCTATGAAATACTCCCCTCTTATTTTCCAAGTTAGTACTGATTGCTGCACAATTTTAGAAATTCATAATACACAGGAACAAGTGGGCTGTTAAGAGGACCAAACAAGAGTCAGTTGATCAGTTTGCAGTTCCTCAGTGGTTAGCTGCTACAATAAGAGAGCTTCCTATAGCCTAGGTTTGTCACTCTAGGAGAGAAAAGTCCTGTGCTGGAGCTTTGTTGGTGGGTTTCTGCGTGTTTTAACTCCTTTCTCAAACACAAAGAACAATCTGCTAGACAGGGCAGAAACAGGCACTAGTCATCTGAAGATCTTTCCCAAACCATTCAGTCTGGTGTTACCACACCATTCTGCTCTCCTGCGTAGCACATTCACATCCTTAACACAGAGAACCTTGACAGAAAGGCGTCCCTTCCTTATGTACTGCTGTAGGTGCTCTCCAGTGTTACACAGCAGGCCACTTAAAAAAGCTCAGGATTTAATGAACAGGACAGATGCACTGCAAAACTGTTTTTCCTTCTACCCTATGATGGGAAATGCTCCTGCCAGTTAGATTCTCCTGCTTCTTCTGGCACGAGCTCTAAAATCAACCCAAATAGTTCATTTCAGTATCTTCCAAAAGGGCCCAGAGGAACACCTGCATCTCCTCCTGCCATTCAGCAGGTAACTGTAAATGAATTAGTCGATTTCTTAGAAAAAATTGCCACAGGGTCAATTTCTTTCAGTAAAATCTGCCCATATTCGGGAGAAAGAAAGAAAAAAGAATCGTATTGACTGCCCCCAGGGTTCGTACAGCCAGGTGCTATCTTGGATATCCAGCTGCAGGTATTACATCTTTTCCTCTGTAGAAAATTGTGCTCCATATTATGGAACTTCATTTGTGTTCAATTTTCTGTTCCTATAAGCAGCTCAGAAACCTTCTGCTCCTTACTTCCCCAAATTCCACTGCTGATGTTTCCATTCCACCTACCCATCCATCCTCTGTTCATTTCCATGACTACTTCTTCCCCAGAGATGCACTCACCATTTCATTAGGATCTCATATGAAAATATAGCATCTGAATAAATATATATTCCTTAATCACCAATCAGGAATATATTAATACCATAGCAACATTTTTCACTCTCTACAACTTCCCTTGCTCACCATAATCAAATCAGAAACTTCCAGAGCATTTCCTAATGTTGTTTTGAGTGTCTCAGTGCACTTACTTACCATTAAAAAGTAACACTTCTAGTGACTTCTTAATTAACAATGAAGTCAATAATCTGAACTTGAAGAATATTCGCAGTTCCAGTAAGTCTCAACACCACCTTTTTCTTTCCCTTTTCACATTTCCTACCCTCTTACTTCAGGTCATATTTAAAAAGCAAAGTACCCTGACATTATTATAATCACAAAACTCTTTCATCAAAAGAGCAGTTTAATTAAAAATCTCCATCCTCTGAATAGATGTTCTCCCAGTATGATCACATTTTTAGTTTGCCCTTCAGTGCTCCTAAGGCTAAATTAAAAATTGAATGTAATAAAAGACAAAATGACAAGGGAGATTTTAAAGCCTACTCCAATAAACAGTCATTACTTCTGCCAAAAAAGGTGGTATCTTTAAGCTTAATTAAAAGAGTATATTCTTGATTAACATATTTCCCTTCTGCTGCATTTGTACTTTACCATTCATGTCCAAAACATATCTTCACAGAGATTATAGTCTCATATTCCATGTTTCCACTTTATTCATAAAATATCAATATTCTTCCATAAATCAAAGATGCAACCCTATCATCATATGTCTCTGCTTCAGCTATCTCTATCGGAGTAGAAGCATAAACACATCTTGTTTACTTTTCATAGTGTGAGATTACAATAGCAGCACTGTATAAGCGATTTATACTCCAGGAGCCATCTCTACAATGCTAATCCTGCAATGAACATTCAGTACTACATTCCAGGCTACTTAGAACTAAGAAAGGATGACCTCAAGTGGCAAAAAAGAGGCATAACCACTATGTTACTATCAATCTAATTTTTCTTAAACGACCAGCATGCCAACCCTCAGTTTAAATCCAGATTTCACCAAAACTGGAAGGAAAAGGTCATATTAAATTTATTAGATCTTCTCTTTCCTACTATTGAGGAGCAATGGATAAATTGAACAGCTCAATGAGACCCAGTGGGAAATGTAAGAGTTCTCTCCCTGGATACCTCCTGAATTCCTCCATGTAATCTGTATTTCACTCTGCAAGCTTCACCAAGGACTTCAGGTTATAACATATCTTGTCCAGCTTTCTAGCACTGTTGAAGACAAGGCCACCACCACCAAGTACTTATTTACCCTTTGCTTAACAGTATTAAAATCTGCACAAATCCAAACTCCTTTATTCTCAGAAAACTCAGTGGTTCAGTATCATAGTGTAAGGCAACAAAGCTGGTGAAGGTTCTGGAGCACAAGATTTATGAGGAGAGGCTGAGGGAACTGAGATCATTCAGTCTGGAAAAGAGGTGGCTCAGAAGAGACCTCAGAGCCCTCTAGAAATATCTGAAAGGAGGAGGTTGTGGCAAGGTGGGGGTCAGCCTATTCTCTAACATAATTAGCGATAGGACAAGAGGGAATAGCTCCGAGTTGCACCAGGGGAGGTTGGATATTAAGAAAAACTTCTTTTCCAAAAGAGTGGCGAGGCACTGAAACAGCCTGCATAAGGAGGTGGTGGAATCACTATCCCTGGAGGTGTTTGAGGAAAGGTAGATGTAGTATTAAGGTCATGGTTTAGTGAGCAATATTGGCAGTAGGTGGATCTTAGAGATCTTTTCCAACCTTCATGATTCTATCAAAAGATATTCACACAGCATTAAATCTCTTACCAGGCTTTCAAGATACCTGAAACACAGAACAGATTCCTGTCGCTGTCCTTTAAACTATTACGGAATGGGTTGAGATCCCCTGAGAAGCCGTGATCTTTTAGGAGCACTGAAAACTGT